TCATAAATACCTACTGGATTAGCAAAACTCAATAAAATGCTTTTTGTTGATGGATTTCGTGACATACATCTATCCCCAACTTGTTCCAAAACTTGCATTTTCATGTTCTTCTATAATTTTCGTGTAAAAACTCTAAATCAGTGCTAATATTTTGGTCATAATTTGAAATTTGGTCAACATGTAGAGTTATAGGCATTACAAAATTATAAAGAAATATGTGGTACCTAGTTTTTTGCATTTTCAGATAGAAAGAATGATAATCCAATTCCAACTTATATTTATGACATCAAGTAGTCATACAACTGTTATAAATCTACTGAAAGTTTATAATTATTACACTAGTTTGTATCACGGTCCCAGTTGCGCTATCAAAGATAAGTCATCAGTATTTACTCGTATCCGTATTATATAGGACAATCCAAACAGTGCACTGATTTACGGTCCAAAAACTGTGATGCATTTCAAGCGATTTCGCAAGATTTTAGTCTCTATATCTCGATCGTATATCATATTTTTGGATACCGCAAGAATTTATTACTGAGAGGGAGGAAAATAACAATGAATAAAGGAATGAGGGTGCGTTGAATTACATACGAAAGGGTTATTTCTAGTTCACAGAGAGAGTCATGGTTAACACAATGTGTCGTTTGACTTTTGGCACTGATATCATTAGAATACGACAGTTTAATCGTCGAAAATCTTGGTTGCATAAAATGTATTCAATCAAAGCAGAAGTAGCAAAAGATGAGATGAAAAAGTTCCATGGCAATCTCTTCTGAGAGCAAAGTAGTAGTAGTAGTGCGTAGTAGTATATAGTAGTAGAAGACGAGGCGGGCGACTAGGAAGAATGCCTCCATGGGCCTGACCTGACCCCTGTAGCACACACATCTACTCTTCCTTCTCCCAACGTGCCTTAGGCTATTTGGATCTTCCTGTTGAAGCGTAGCGGCACCAAAGATTTCGAATCTCTCAGTCTTCCCTACGTCTTCGGACACAGCAGGTTATTGTCGCTCAATACCCATTTCCAGTCCAGAGGATTATTTCGGTCTTTGTAGTAGAGTAAACTGTCCGACATCAATGTATACGTATGAAAACCTATGAAGTCATGCATAATATTCTTTCGGTCCATTAAAATTCCCAAAATAGAATTTGATATCACTTTTTTCCATATTCAAACCCTAGATTCCTTGGAAATCAGCGATATCGTTTTTTCATTCCATCACAAATTGTAATGACGTTCATCATGAGAAATATTGCTCGGACAGAAACATTTTATGCAACTTCATTGTGTGAAATTATCTCATTCTCCATTTTGTTAATAGGTATGTTTGCCGTGGAATCAATATTCACCGAGAAATTTCAGAAAAATCGTTTTTCAGCATCTTTCCCAGCGTTCCCAATGTAATGAAGTGTTCTTGAACCAGCTTCATTACTATAGACTGGTTCCGATTGAAATCTGAGTACCTGAGACTGATTCTAGATGAATTTTACTTGTTTCAAAGCTCTAAACCTGAAAACCTGAGAGAGCTGAGTAATTCATTGATTCCTGACTTTCCAAAGCTTTTCCTGATAGTAAATTCTGATGAACATCATTACCATCCTTAAGACTCTTACAATATTTTTCAATCCTTTGCTTATGATATGGAATTTGGATGAATTATTCATCAGTCGAAATGATGGATGTTCACCTGGTCATTGCTTTCTTGTTATTGGATATTTTTCATAAAAATTCATTCAGTAGTATTAGCAAGGGTAAGAGATTCTGTTCCTGTGACCATTTAGGGTAAAATATATTTTTTTCCGCATTTTTCTGGGTTTAAGAACATGTGCTTTTGGATGCTAGTTCCTGCAGGCATAGTTGAGGATTCCGACCAATAAGAATCTAGGATCGAAATGTCCTTGTACCGAGGTCGATGAGGAATATAAATACTGAAGACAGCTAAGGGATCATTCCCCACTCTACCGTCTCTACTCTACAACGCTCTGCTCTACTACACTCTATGATCTACACTAGACACTCTACTCTTCACCTGTGTCTCTCCTGGTTCTCTCACTGATCTCTTAGTGCTCTTATATTTCATCAGGAACCATTGTAAAGTATTGATGTATAGTGATTTCCTGTTGCACATGTAAGTTTGTATAATATTTTTCACCATTATTATTCGCCCTGTAGATAGATTCATGTCATTCCTGTTAACCTTGTTGTTTTTCAAACCGATTCTTACCCGACCTGTGTAACGAATCCAGAAATTTGTATTTGCGAATAAACGGTTCTTTTTGTGATTGCTTATCTCATATGCCTTTCTCTGTTGGCCTTGTTTTCAGTTCCGAATAGTTCCAATAATTTATTCAATGATTCTCAATATTCTTATTTCTCAAATTACTGATTTTTATTGACGGACGGCTGACACTGACAAAGTCACCTTTCAATTCTTCTTTTTTTTGTCCTGAAGGAATCTTGTCCTGTGCACCCGTGTCCCTGTGCTTGGTATCCTGTCAGGTTGTGGCCGGTGGTTGATGAAATTTTGACATGGATAGAAAAATATTATTAACCTCACTGAAATTCCGATATTGAAAAATCAGAAAAGCGAAGGAAAAGGAGAAATAAATATGAATTGAATCTGTTAAATTCGTTTGGAACTGTGTTTCCGATTCTGTACAAAAATCGCTTTGTGCAGAGCAGGTGGAGTAATCCACCTAATTAACAATCTGGCGCCCGAGACCCTCCCTGTCAAATAATAGAGTAGTCTCTGTCCGAACAAGCACATAAGTGAGGGCCCCAGAAATTAGGGCCGTTATATCAAATGTTATGCTTACACGCTATCTTAGGAGACCTTCGAGGAACTATCCAGGACGCCAATATACAGGGTCCGGAAATTATGCGCAAAAAATCAAAGGGGTAATTCTGCATGAGAAAACATGAAATTCATTTCATATAAATTTGGTTCAGCAAATCATAGTCTTCTGGAGACAGTGTGTAACAGTTTTTTTTGAAAAAATCGGTTTTTATGAATATCTTAAATATCTTTCCACCGATTCTCTTGAATTTCACCCGATTTTTTGGGATTTTCTCTCCTCGTTTTTATAAAATCAAATCATTCTTATTATTTCAATATATTTGTAGTAGAACAAATCAGATGATTTGCCCCAAAATGTCACTACGTTTAACACATTTTTCTATCAGGAAGCCTAAATGAAAAATCCAGTATTCATTTCACTTGATTTTTTGGGATTTTCTCTCCTCGTTTTCATAAAATCAAATCATTCTTATTATTTCAATATATTTGTAGCTGGACAAATCAGATGATTTGCCCCAAAGTGTCACTCCGTTTAACAAATGTTTTTATCAGGAAGCCTAAAAGAAAAATTCAATAGCTTGTCAGTGACAATTTGTTTGAAAAAATGTTTGAAGGAGAGAAATATAGATATATTGAGAAAAAATATTGAATCTTCACTTATCTTTGGACGTTTCGGGACCGAATCTGCTCCCGTTCTCAACATGAAAATGTGAAATATTTCCCTTTTGGAGTTTTGCTGCTCATAGTTTGACAGTTTTCAATGTCATACTGATGTTGGCATATAAATGAGTGGTTTTAGTCTACAAATGAGTTACAGGATGTTTTCATTAATTGATCTTGAATCTACCATTTTTATGTTCAGTTTCCAGTAGTGAATACCATGTTCTATCTATATCAACTGAACAGGAAGCGATGCTATTGTCTCCGTTCAGAAGAATGCGAGCGGATTCCTTGATTTTTTTTTGTTGTTATCTTCCTTTCCTATGATTTTGATATTATAATATCAAACTGTCAAACTATAAGCAGCAAAACTTGGCCAAAGAGGAATATTTTACAGTTTCATGTTGAAAACGGGAGCAGATTTGGTCCCGAAATGTCCAAAGATAAGTAAAGATTCAATATTTTTTCAATGCATCTATATTAGCGAGGGTTTCTGAGCTGTGTGCACGTGAATATATACCAAAAAAGGGAAGATTTGTATTTCGTGCAAAATAGTTTATTCAATATTTGTAGCAGAGCGCTTTCGACTGTTAAGTCATCATCAGTGCGTACCTGTAAGTAAGTAAACTGCTTTTAGCTATTCGAAAGAAATCAAATCAAAAGTTCATCAAAAAGTAACGAGTCATCAATTTATTATTTTTAGATTTTACTTTTCGATATTAAGCAAATTTCCAAAAATTTTTCCAAAATATTTTTCAAAAATTTATTAGAAAACTGTTTTTTGAATTGTCAATTTCTTTCGAATAGCTAAAAGCAGTTTACTTACTCACAGGTACGCACTGATGATGACTTAACAGTCGAAAGCGCTCTGCTACAAATATTGAATAAATTATTTTGAACGAAATACAAATCTTCCCTACTTTGGTACATCTTTATCACTCTCCTTCAAACATTTTTTCAAACAAATTGTCACTAACAAGCTGCTAGATTTTTCCTCTAGGCTCCCTGATAAAAAAAAAATGTTAAACGCAGTGAAATTTTGGGGCAAATCATCTGATTTGTCCCACTCCAAATATATTGAGATAATACGCATATTTTTATTTCAAAGAAACGAGGGGAGAAAATCCCATGAAATCAAGTGAAATGAATATACCACCTCCTCGACTAACCTACAGACATTATTTGTAAATCCAGTAGCTTGTCAGTGACACTTTGTTTAAAATAATGTTAGAAGGAAAGAAATATAAATATATTGAAAAAATATCGAATTTTTACTTATCTTTGGACGTTTCTGTAACGAATCTGCTCCCGTTCTCAACATGAAAATGCAAAAGATTCATCTCTGAGATACTGAAAATATATCATTCGATTCGATGAGGAGAAAAAATCCTCTGTAAGAGAATTTTATGAATTTTTTTCAACTGTCAAAAATAATGAAGTTATAGAGGGTGGTACTTTATAACGTGTCACCTGGTACAACTCCATTCTGGTGATGACAAGGAGTTTTCTACTACTTCATCATCATTATTATCCTTGTTCCAGCTTGCCAGCAGGTCCGGTCTGGCGTGCACGCCCTATTCGGGCCCTCTGACCCCCTCTTGGGGGCGCACATCCACTCGGTGTGCGACGCGCTCGACATCCCCCACGTCGAGGCGCGTCTCGACGCCGACGCCGACGCCGATGCCAGGGAGTTCTCCATCAACCTGCACCCAGCGCAACGGCTGCTCAACGCGGCTTTCCAGGACGTCATGGCCTTCCTGAACTGGACCAGGGTGGCGATTGTCTACGAGGAGGACTACGGTGAGTATAGTATATCCAATATCAATTGCAGAACATCCCGCACTGTGCGGCGTCGGCGTGTTTGAAGTTTCCATTGAAGTGACTGCAGGTGCGGCACGAGATTCTGCAATTGGTTTTAGATAAACTTTACCTTTTGGAATCTATTTATTCATGATATCTTTCTCCACCATTTTTGCTGGTGTTTCGCAAGGGTCAATTCTAGCACCAGCACTATTTCTGCTCCATATCATCGACTTGTTGGAAGCAACTTCGTATCCAGTACACAGCTTCGCGGATGATAGTACCCTCCATACCGCCTTCTCTTCCAGGGCTCCAATACCAACCAGGCGAATCAGGAACAGACGAGGGAAGAATGTTGACAACAGAAATATGAACTTGGTAACAATTCTTGAATGGGGATCCAATAACTTGGTACATTTCAATGCGAACAAAACACGAGCATGCCTTTTCTCTAGAAAAGCTGATCTCACTGAACCCAACGAAAGCTTGTCAGGAGTAACCATTCCATTGGAGACATCCATTTCGATGCTTGGTATTACTATCAGCAATAACCTTTCTTGGGAAAATCACGTGAGATCAATTGCTAAAAGTGCATCCCATAAACTCAGTTTTCTGTTTCGGGCCAGGAGCTATTTCACTTTCAGTCAGCTGCTTATGATCCATAAAAAGGCACAGATCTGACCTGTACTGGAATTCTGTTTCCATTTTCGGAGTGCAGCACCGAAACTGTTGGATTCTGTCCATTCAGCTGCTTATGATCCATAGAAAGGCACAGATCCGACCTTTACTGGAATTCTGTATCCATTTTTGGAGTGCAGCACCTAAACTGTTGGATTCTGTCCAAAAGAAAGCAATTCGTCTCGTGGGTGATGCCTCGCTCACAAACTCACACACTTCTATGGAACACCGTAGGAAAGCTGACGATCTGGCTCCATTTCATAGATATTTTCATGGACGACGCTCTTCTAAAAAATCAACAATTTTTGCTCCCTTGGCAGTCCCCGCGAGATTAACCCGTCGAGTTGAGGCTTCGCACTCCTTCGTGGTCACTTTGTAGACCTGCAGAACATCTCTTTCCAAAGACTCGTTCATCCAACGAACACCGAGGCTCTGGAACACATTGTCAAGGGAAATGTTCCCCGAGGCATATATCTTCCAGAAATTCAAGAAGAATACCAATTCGTACCTTTGTTTCCTTGATTCTCACGATGTTCTCTGAAAATCACATAATATCCCTCTTCATGGGAACCAGAACAAAAAAAACAAAAATTAACCTGAGAAGTGATACTTTTCAGACCTAGGTGAATGATGATGAATTGATGGAAGTAGATTGTTTTATTAGTATCAAAATTGACACTTTGTTTTACAAGCGAATTTTGCATTCGCGAGGTGGAGCATCTAGCAATGCCAAGCAAAATCGAAATTCGTGAGTCAAACGAAGTCACTTTTGGATTCGAATGAAAATGCTATTCTTTCTGTAACCGGAAGAATGAATTCAAATAAATATGTGGATTAACCACCAATGTGGCTTTCTTGACAGATAATTATAATACTATGAGTAAGTAGATAGAAGCAATACCTAAGACTACTTAACGTTGTTACAATTTGTGTTGAGATGCATCATGTCATCAGATCTTCATCAGATACTATAGACACGAATTCAATACCATACTTGAAACGTGGATGCCGTGCTATATATCATATGTATGCAATGCAACAAATAGTCCGTATGGTGAAAATATTCTACCTGCATTTACAGATCAGGTTCATTCAATTTACAAGAATGTTCGAATCGTAGTTTCAACCTCAATGCAACCACAAAGTGACATATTCGTGTAATCTATTGAATCGATGAATAGATGAATTCAATTGGAACAGGTGTTAACTCTAATAGCGAATACCGTGCCGATGCCAGGAATAGGAAAAAGACATGGAAAATATAAGGCTAGTGAACATGTCAACAATAATAATAGCGATTATTCATTTCTTTCCATATTCCACTGTGTTCGGCTCGGTAACAAATTAAGATAACCAATAACGTTGTGTGAGATAAAAAAGTATTGCTGGCCGTGATAATTCAAAAACAAGTTGTCCATGCAATCAATGAGACCCCAAAAATGAATAAAATACAGATCAAGCAAGTATGTAAATCTTGAAGGCTCACCTGATCAAAACAAAAATACTTAATTATAATATTGGTGTATTTATATCTCCAGGAAAGGTATGAAATGCCGAATCTGCCGAAAGCAGGAACAAATCAGGTATGCGTTCCAACCCAAATAACCAACCATCACATTGTTGATTATTCTTTATGACCAATTACATTCTTTCTAGTTCCTAGGAGCTAAAGTTCAACTTTCGAATATGGCATATCAGAACAATCCGAACATGCATTATTGATTGCATTATAGTGGCCATTAACCACCAGTATTTCACAAGTTTAGTGAGTTTGGCGTAGATACTTATATTAATAATGAATAATCTGTAATGATATGAGGCATATCACATACTAAAATTGCAGAATAGCTAGTACGACTTTTTTCGCCATTTTTAAATGAGAATCATCCAAATAGTAATAGGTGGCTGATTAATCGATCCGAGAAATATGTCTCAAGAAGTTTTTGAAGGCATTAAGATCATGAATTAGATTTAGATAACTATCTCGTATATTAATAAGGCGAATAGTAATCTCAAACATATCTTGATCTTTGATTATATAATATAATTTCCAGGTCTAATTAAACTGCGAGAACTTGTCAGGTCTTCCAATAATGGAGAGCTAGAGATCCATCTGCGCCAAGCAGATCCAGCATCATATCGTGCCGTCCTCAAGGAAATCAAAAGCAAGGAGATACATAACATCGTCATCGATACGAAACCCTCCAATATGGCGCACTTTCTCAAAGGGGTAAGGATAAATATTCCATATAGGTACAGGGTATTCTCAGAGTTGAGGCATTTTTCAAGAGGATGTAGAATTAGAATAGATCGATCCGCCAAATATCGCCTCAATAAAAAATGCATAATGATGGAAAAATCATCAATGGATTCTGAAAAAATTCAATAACAGTCCTGGTCGTATGATTCTATGTTCGGTGATTGCCCAACAGCGAAATTTTGGTTGACTAGTACTAGTCATCTGACCCGCTTTTCAATTATTTTTCAGTGAATTATTAAGCAATGTCGCACGTTCACGAAAATAATGAACTTATTGACATGCTTTTGATTTATACAGGTGTACATAATTACAAACTGAGTGATTAGAACAGAAAAGTTATACAAAATATCAGTCAGGAACTCAGTCAAGCATAACACTGAACTGTGCAAATGATAAAAACAATATCGACAGTAGAGATATTGTTTCACGTGAAGAAGCTCGAGAAACATTGAACATCATTGTGATAGGATAGCAGAGGAATCTTTTGTTTGTGTATAATTTTCATAGTCTCTTATTTCACGATGTTTTCAAAGTGATATCAAATTGAACTCAGTGAGGAGTAGATCATAATTATAGCCTCTTGCAGAATAATCACCATGACTTTTATAAAATGCGAATTTCAAATTTTTTTTGTGAACGTTCTCAATAGCTGAAATATGTTTGCCATAAGACGGATTCCAAACAACACAACAATGATCGAGCTGGCATCTGACTAACGTTAGATATATGCTTTTCAGAGAATCAAATGATCCGAAGTCTGTACAGTTTCGTATCATAGAATCTAAATTTTTCATTGAAGCTGAAATTATATGACCAATGTGATTGGAGAACGTAAGTTTTTGATCAAATATGACTTTCGATTCAGTGACTCGCACTAGAATATTGTCATCAAGCTTATAGTTGAATGTGACTGAAACAACTTTTCGAGTGAATGTCAAAACTTTACATTTATTAATATTCAATTGAAGTTTGTCCTGGAAGCACCAGTGACTCAGAGAATTCATCTTAAATTTTTCTGTTAATCTCCATATATCATCAGCAAATAAAAGTATTTGGGATAGGATATGATCAACAATATCGTTTATGTAAATCAGAAAAAGTAAGAGATGGAGATGAAGTGTTATAATTTCTAATTATCTTGTCTCGGTCTCGTCGTATTTCTTTCATTCCTCTCCAATTTTTAATAATTTTTCTTCAGTGTCTCTGCTTACTGCGTCATCTTTATGAATGCAATAACTGCTTGTATCCAATTAGGTACTCTCAAAATCTGGTTAACTTCTGGTTCACTAACTATAATCTCAGACTCAATGATATTAAAACACAGAATTTTTTATCCACAACGAACAATAATATTGTTAAGATGATATTATGTAGCTGCTTGAAATGATCATCTCTGATAAATTGACGAATTAATCTGGTCATGTTCAAAGTTCAAAAACTCTCAAGTATATTAAAATAATCGTGCTACGCAATTTGAGCAAACCGCCATCCTTCGGAAATATGAGATCACGTAACTTCGTTATTTTCAATTCTCATCCCAGTAACGGCACGATGTTGTGGGGTAACTCTGGTTTACTACCTTCAATCTCAGACTCAATAATATTAAATCACAGATTTTTTTTTACAACGAATAATGATATTGTTAAGATGCTATTATTATGATGCTGCTTGATATGCTCATCTTTGAAAAATTGACGAATTAATCCGGTCATGTTCAAAAACTCTGGTTTACTACCTATAATCTCAGACACAATAATATTAAAACACAGAATTTTTCTTCCACAACGAACAAATATATTGTTAAGATGATATTATGAAGCTGCTATTGAATTGCTCATCTCTGATAAATTGACGAATTGATCTGGTCATGTTCAAAAAGTCTCAAGTATAGATAATAGTCGTGCTACGCAATTTGAGCAAACCGCCATCCTTCGAAACTATGAGATCACGTTACTACTTTCTTTTCAATTCTCATCCCAGTAACGGCACGATGTTGTGGGGTAACTCTGGTCATGCTGAAAACATTTTTCGTTTGCAACAACGTACCATCAGGATCGTTGTTGGTGCTGGTAGGAGAGATCACTGTAAACCTATTTTCGAAAGCTTGAATATAATGCTATTTTATCTTGAGATATTTTTGTTTCACCATTGGATATCCATAGCTAGATAGAACGAACCTCAAGATCGATGCAGATGGTCATGACTATATGACAATGGTATCGCTTCACAGTCTGGCAAAAGATTAGAGAAAAAACTCGCAAAATCTGAATTTATTCAATTGTCTCGCTAGGAGTCTTAGGTTATTAGATGATAATACGAATCTTTCAAGTCTGCAACCAGACAACATTTTTCTTCTCATGATGAAGTTTTATACAGTCAAAAATTATTTCCACACGCTTTTTGTTGAGGGCTACAGTTATCAAGGGAAAGATTAATAACCAAATATTCCTGAAATTCAGAACATGAATCATATTGTATTTGGTTCCACCGATTTCAATATTGATTAATCAATATGTATCATGATATTTGTTCCCCAATTCACTTGCCAAAGCTATCGTCTTAAGATGCTGTTCAATTCACAGAAACGATAATTGCGTTGTTCATACGTTGTACTGGTTCGATATTTTTTAGAACTAATAAAATTAAATAATCAACTAAGAAACTATGGTAAAGAGATCATCTATATCTTCCTACACTGGAAAAAAAATTGAGTGAAATTTCACTCAAGGTCCACGCAATAATTAGTCAATTTCGGTCCACGCCCGATTGAGTTGAAATTGCACCCTATTCGACTGTGCAAAATGGTAATTCATGAACCGATTCAATCAAATTTTTTATAAACATTCTCATTGATATGAGAACTTGATGAACTATCTAGTTTGAGTTGAGAATTCACTCAAAAATGTCAATCAGTAAATTCACTCACAACCACATATGCATTCACTCAGAGGAATTTTCTACAGTGTAATGATGCAATCTCATTGCAGCACTAGATATTCATCATATATACTTGCATTCTTTAGATTCATTCATTGAATACACAAGAACTCAACATCTTCACTCTGATCATATATAAACACAAACTTCATTAAACTATGAAATTATTGTTGAACGATATCAGAATACCTAATACTCAGCCAAACTCTTCACAAGTTTCAATGATCTGACTGATTCACTCCAACCAATCGAACTGTGTGACTGAACTCATTCAATCAACCCAATTGCAGATACTCCAGCTCCAAATGAACGACTACAAGTACCATTACCTCTTCACCACTTTCGATATGGAAACGTTTCACTTGAAACACTAGCAAACTGCAATCACATTGTAACACTAGATATCTATCATGGATTCTTGCTCTCCTTACATTTATTTATCGAATATAAAAGGATTCAACATCTATAATCTGATCATATATGAACACAATCTTTCCTCAGACTTCGGAATTATTGTTGAACGATATCTGAATATCTAATACTCTGCCGAACTTTTCACAAGTTTCATTGAACTGGCTGATTCAATTTAACCAATCGAACTGTGTGAATGAACTCATTCAATCAACCCAATTGCAGATACTCCAGCTCCAAATGAACGACTACAAGTACCATTACCTCTTCACGACGTTCGATATGGAAACGTTCGACTTGGAAGACTTCAAGTATAACTTCGTGAATATGACCGCTTTCAGGATAGTCGATATCGACGATCTGTCTGCGAAGGAGGTGCTCAGAGATATGGTCAAGTTCCAGGCGAATAAGGACGTCCAGCCGATAAATTCCAGCTTTATACAGGTCAGTGCACTTATCATTGCTGAAAATTTCCATCTTCCGGAGTAGCCGAATGTTTGTGCAAAGTCCTTCAATGATAATAACTCAGGATTCGAACCACTTGTAGGAATTGTGATTCAGTCCCTGAATTATATATTACATGTGATGCTTTCGTAATGGGCTCTAGTCTTCGATATTCTTGCCACATAGAAGGATCGCAAATCATGTATTCTTGTCTGAGTCATAGTCATGCCTCTTGAATGGGAGAACAATATCACCAGTACGTTCACTACAAAAAAACTCTAGTTTTCTTCTACAAAAATGATGATATGCTGCAAAAGTGTGCTGCTGATATCTGTCACGTTATGGTGAAACCAAATTAAGTCACTCGATATAAGCAGTAAGTTTCAATATTTCATTTGGAAATTCCACAACCAACCTCTTTGGTGTCAATATTTGATGATTGCATTATGATTTGAGAGCAGAAGAGGTTAGAAATTATCTTCATTCAGATAATTACATCCGAATTATAATGATAATAATATTATTGAAAAGGAATATTCTCAGATATGATCATGATATAAAGAAAAACATTGAAAATTCGTATTCTCTATGTGATGGAAACAACTACTTTCCTATATAACGATATGCCACGACGAACATTGAATTACATCTATTGAACATACACGATAAGAATTCATAAAATCTTCCGAAGTAGAGAATTTGCATTCTCCTCCATATAAAGATATGCACATGATATCATTCTGAATATTCAACAGAAAACAACTACTTTCCTGGCTATTTGCCACGTCGAACATTGAATTATATCTGCTGAACATCCAGAAAGAGAGCATGAAAAATGTAAATCCTTTGAAATTATATAAAAAAATATGATGTATTATGATATAAAAATATAACTCACCAATATGTTCAGTATTGAAATGAAAATTGAACTGTATATGAGAAGTATACTTGTATAAACTCTGATCTTTATCAGCTTGGAACCTCCAAAAATAATCATTCGTATCCGTGATATGGGAATTATATCTCAGACGAACAGATTAAATGACTTTACTCGAATATATTCATTTCGGATATCAAATCCTCATCAACAACCTGAAGTCCAGTCATTTTTTCAGCCATTCTTCATCTCCCTATAATATAACTAAAACTATAACGAACTGATATCTGAGAACTATTTGTTGACATACTCCTGTCATCTGGGCATTCGTTTTCGAATATATGATAAATTGATATACATCATATAAGACGTGGAAAGAAAAAAAAGAGATGATAATTCTCAATTTCCATTCCCTTCCAATTAATTTGTAGGTTATCGGTAGATTATTCTAATTCTCGGGATTATCAGATCTTGTCGAAGAGAGAAAGTGAGAATTTGTAGGTAAAGTATAGTATGTAACACGTTCATAAACTCTTCTAGACACTCGTTCATTGAACAATCGCCGCGCTCGTGCTCAAAATACTATCGTTACTGAAAGGAAGTTCATAACACTTGTTACATAATATATACTATCATACCCAAGTTACAGGATCATCTGAATATTTTATTGGAGTATCATTGATTTTCATGGCATTCCGTATATTTTTCAAATCACTGAACTATTTCCATATGTTATGTGTATAATGTTATTGGCGTCATATCTTCTTGTATGACATGGAATTTTCCAAGAATTTTCCGTCACTGCTAGTTCATTTCAAACGGACGCTCTCGGAATTTTGCCCTACGGCTAGTCGGTCCAACGCATTTTTCATTTCGCCCTTTCAGTTGGCTGAGTGCCGTTTAGTACGTTGCTTTTGTGGCTGTCCCTCATCCTGGAAAAAAGTAATTTTACCCGTGTTCATCGTAACGAGGACCTATGAGAGACAATAACTATCAAATGTGAAGGTGGATGAGATTGGACAGAATTTTTACACTGTGCCCCATTTTTGAATATGCACACATTTTGATGTTATTATGACATCAACGAGATTATCAACAGTAACACGGAGTTCTGAAATTGGAGATGCTTCTGTTATTTTGTTCTTCACAAAGTTGTATAGCCGAGCGAGACCATCTCGATGTCATCTTTCACTGAGAAAAATAATTGTGCTGTTCAAGTTTTTGCTGAGATATTTCGTGCTATTATTATAAGAACTCCTATAACCATCACCTATTTCCGAATAGAATCGAGCACAGTGAAATCGATTTTCTATATGGCAACCATAACAATTTTGCTAAAGGTTGCAGTCACTCTGAGACAGTATAATTGAATTTCTTAAATTTTTAGCTGGATCACTACTAGTGAGTTTAATACTTGTTGTTGTGTGGATCGTCGCATAGAACTGTGCTGAAAAACTATGCATAAAATAATATTGACGATCCTACTTGAGGTTATTCAACCACTATAGGCCTATTTCCCTATTATCAGTTATCTCCAGAATGATGGAGGCTTTCGCCATCGAAGATCAAACGCAGATTAACTTGCGTACGAAGCACTCGTCCGTTTTGTCACCAAGGACTCCTCCATGAACTACAAACGTACGGACAGAGTATCGTCTAATACCATAGCCATCAATTCCGGCGTTCCAGAAGGATCGATTTTGGCACCAACATTGTTCCTACTTTATATCAATGATCTGTTGAAAGTAACCACTTCCTTCATCCACAGTTTTGAAGATGATAGTATTCTCCATATCGCGTTTTCTTTCAGTATTCCCATTTTTTCGTCACGAATGCAGGATATTGCTGAAATTACAGGGAGAATCAACAACCTGGTATAAATACTGTCTGTAGGTTAATCGAGGAAAATTTGATATTTTTTCTATATACCCTGATTTCTCTTCTCCGAAATCTTTTCAATACAAATTGTCACTAACAAGCTAGTGAATTTTTCTTTTAGGCTCTGTGATAGGAAAATTCTCCAAACGCAGTGACATTTTGGGGCAAATCATCTGATTTGTCCTTACTACACGTATATTCAAATAATATTCATATTTCTATTTTATAGAAACGAGGAGAGAAAATCCCAAAAAATTTTGAATAATGAACCTGGTATAGTTCAACGCGGTCAAAACTGGTGCCTGTATTTTCTCTAGAAAGGCGGAACTCATTATGCCCGATATATCAAGGTCTGGTACCATTATTTCCACCAAGTCCACCATATCTATGCTCGGTATCTCCAGCAGCAATACTCTCCGATCGGGAATGCTTATCAGATCTATCGCGAAAGCTGATGCTTCACAAAATTGAGAATTAGCAATACAATTATTTTTGTATGAGAATGGTTGTTTTGTTTGTTTCTATTTTGTTCGTAAAAGGTTACTTTTTTGTTTACTAAAATAATATGATGTTTTGGCGTCATAGGTTCAATATCCTTTCTTGGAATTCATCTCGGAACATATTTATTGAAATGTACTGAATTTTCGACGAGGTATTCACTGATGGAATAAAAATCGTACTTGCAACCCTGTTCCGCGCAAAGAGTGAGTTGACAACAACTGTTATTTGCTGTTGTCGAATTCATAATCCACGAAATCCGATGAATAGGACCGTGATGGAAATATAAGTGTTTGAGGTTGACGAAACAATGGATTATTTTTTGTTTGGTACATAATTAATTATTCCTCGGCAAACACCTCGACTAAGGCCATGGCTATCAGTTTGCAAACTTGACTATAATCGACAGTGTTTCGTCCTTGGTACATAAATAACTATTAATTCACTGGTTTGACACAAATTCCGGAGAATGAATTCAGAAGATTGTTCTGACAAAAAAAATCTCGAAATCTCGACTGTAGCTATATCATGCGGATGGGAATGAATAGTTTGATTGAACGATTATTCATCAATCTCTGAGACAGCATATAGAACACATAAACATCGTTATCATGTGAAACAGCATAGTTCAATAATTTGTGTAGGCAGAGATGATACACTCCTTGTAGGGTAATCTGGGGGATGAGATATCAATTTTATTTTGAAAACGATAGCAGGATCGTTCCTGAAGATTCGTTATAAGCTGAGTGGAGAGTTTTATTTTCAATATGATCACTAATATTCCCCTTCGACGAACATTTCTCGAAACAAGATGTCACTGATTATAATCGATTTGAATATTTCAAGGCCATAATAATCTGATTTGTTTCCTTCAGTTACAACATTCTATCATAACAATAATCCATCCTGTTAGAGTTCCCCGAGAATGCCCTGTATTCACTCTCTTCTGCAAGGTCAGTTATCACTGTGCGCTATGTCCGATTTACATCAGTGATTCCATAGTAGTCCAGTAACTTTGTCGCCTGAACATATGAGGGTAGTAAGCGTCAAATCCGATAGTTCTGATTTTTTGAAGACTCGTTCATAATGTTGGCCTGATGAATGATTCAAGTTTGTGACCTCCAGCACCGAACGCAACTTTGTCAGAAATATTATAACCCTGAAGGACTAGTCTTTGAAAAAAAATCTCAGGACGTTTTTGAGGCAGATAAAATTTGCTACGATAAGATACAAAAACTGTCTCTGCAGACCCAATAGTTTTCGAGATAAAGCCTTCCAAAGTTTTTCGAACTTCGCAATTTTTTGCAATGCTTAAGGCGTCACTCGAATATACTCTAGCGGGATGAAGTTTCAATTACCTCCGACGGAGTATGCTAGTACTGTTCGTGTGAAGTCACGAATGCGACCCTGCAGCACGTTTTCAAACTTTTTAGGCAATCTAAACCACGGGACTTTTCAGCTGGCAAGATGGCGCCTGGTTGTAGGGCCATCACATATAATAAGTATTGGTTTTCTCTCAGGTACCTGTTACACATCCTTTGGTTTCTCATGATTGATTCTGTTCATAGATCCTTTCTCTTGATGACTGCTATCCACATTTCTCTTCTCATTCTTGATAGATCTTTTATCTGTGGATGATGCACAGAGTTATTCACAGAATCACAGTAGGAATGTGAAAAAACTATCTACCACAATACACGTTACCCGCATTTTTCCTTAAAAATCATATCGAGTTTTCATTATTCAC